GGAGGGATGCACACCTGAGCCAGTGCACACGCCCCACAGGGAGGGATGCACACCTGAGCCAGTGCACACGCCTCACAGGGAGGGATGCACACCTCAGCCAGCACACAGACCTCACAGAAAGAGGCAAAAGCAGTAAAAGAGGAAGAAGTGGAGACTCGGCACAGCGGCACGTAGGCGGTGGGTCTACAGAGCACATGGCCTCATCCTCCATCCAAGTGTCAGAGTTCAGGGAGCATGCCAGAGGCTATAGAGGGCCTGACCAGGAGATGCTCATTTCCCGGAATAAGCAGACAAGTGGCCCGAGTCCCACTCCTATGTCTCCACTGTCTGGAAGGAGTTTATAAAGAGATACAATTCCATTCCATTTCCAAACCATGCTCAATGAAAACTAAAGACTTGGGTTCCGGGTGTCCCCACCAAGCTCAAACACGCGGCTCTATTCTCTCCTTCCGGGACCCAAAGTCTCCACCCTTTTATTAACGACAACAAGACGAGAGCCAGAGGCCGACTCGTTTGGAGCAGAGCATTCTGTTGCTGCCCCGTGCCTGCAGTGGAGCCGAAGCAGTCGGCCCTCTACGGCCCACATGCTAGCAGCGCCCTCCCCACCAAGCTGATGAAACCCGTCTCCAAACACCATGAGTGCCCTGAAGAGGTCACACCCACCCAGGGGAGAACCACTGCGCACGCACACAGACAGGCAGGCAGGCCTATCAGAGGAGGGAGGAGGAAGGAAAGGGGGAAGGAAGGTATCCCCGAGCACAAGGTTCCTACCAGAAAAGCTTTCCGGCCTGTGCTTCTCCTCCTCGGATGTAATGAGTTATTTCTTTGGTGAAATTCCATTCTTCTTCTAACAGATTCTTTAAGCTATGGGAAGCCTGAGGTAACTGCTGTAGCATTTGGATCCAGCTTCTCATGTAATCAAAGTACACCTTAAAACAAAAATATAAAAGGACATGTTTCAGAGAACCCAGCAACTTGTAACATGACCTATATCAACACAGCATAAACCAGAAGGATGAGAAAGAGCAGGAGCCATGGAACAAGACTACACCACAGCCAACTGATGTCTAAACAAGGACTCTTCTCCAGCTGTATGAGTCTTCGGCAACAACACATTCACAACCTTTCAGACTCCTGCAAATAACTTTTTTTTTTTTTTTTGATTTTTTGAGACAGGGTTTTTCTGTGTAGTTTTGGTGCCTGTCCTGGATCTCACTCTGTAGACCAGGCTCAAACTCACAGAGATCCGCCTGTCTCTGCCTCCCAAGTGCTGGGATTAAAGGCGTGTGCCACCACTGCCCGGCCCGCAAAGTAACTTAAATAGCCACAAAATACAGGAAAGTACAATAATGTTTAAAAAAAAAATGCTTAAAAACTTTTATCATGAACATGGACACGGTTCCTTGGAGAGGTTAGTGTTTTATTTTGTTTCATTGCTTATTTTTAGCTGGAGAGAGTTATTAGTACACATCCCATCAACCCTTCTTGATGCCCAAATCTGTGACATGAACTTTCCAAGGCTTATAACATCCAAACTGTGATACACAGTCAAAATGTCCAGGTGATCTGAGGTTGAGACTACACCCACTACACGTGCCTCAACGGCTCTATCACTCCTAAATTCCCACCGTGATTTCTCTGTTGGCGTGTGATGGTCAGTGTTAACCGTCTACTTGACAGAATCTCTAGAAACACCCAGGAGACGGGCCTCTGGCACGCCTGTGGAGGACTGCCTTGTTTGTGCTAACTGAAGTAGGATGACCAGGACACGATGGGGGGCGCCATTCCCCGGCTGGGGTCCTGACTCTGTAAAGGCAGAGAGAGCTGAGCGGCACATTCACTGCTCTCTGCTCTCTTGCTGTGAACCGGATGTAAGCAGATGCTTCAAGTCCCTGCCACCTGGGCATCCCAGCCACGGGGACTGGACCTGTGGCCTGGGAGCCACAGAAAGCCTTTCCTCTCTGAAGTTGCTCTGCCGGTAGTATTTCACTGCAGGGGCAAGAGGGGCAGCTCGGACGGCGGTCTTCCTCTAAACAGGCTCTGGGAGGAAGGCTGCCACAGAGCACACCACTGGTGCATTTTCTGACCTAGTGGATGAGCTGACCAAGCAGAAGAGATCCCACCGTACGTTCTCTGCGTGAGAACTGTGAAGACGCAACTCCACCTTCCAACACTCAGTGTGGTGTTGCCATGGAGAAATCGACACCAGCCTCGCTGCCCAACTGCCAAGCACTCCCCACACCGTCGTCACTCCCTAAGGTGACTTCTCTCTTCCCTTCTCCCTCCCTGTTTCCTCCATTTCTTCCTTTCCCTGAGACAGCTTTGCTATGTAGCCCAGGCTAGATTTGAACTCATGCTCCTCCCGCCTCAGCCTCTCACTGAGGTCACCAGGGTGCACACCACACCTGAACAACTTACTGCCCAACTCTAAAGTTTACAGGATGCTTTAACCTTGAGTTCCATGGGGGAGGGGGGTGCTGTTTGTTTTGTTTTTAAACCAGGATACATCTTAAGAGCTCACTGTTATTTCCCCCCCTCCCCAAGATTCAGGAATACCCTCTAGGCAGCAGACTGTGAGACGATTATTTATTTCCAGGCAGTTTCCTGTTCTGTCTTTGAACGATTTGCATCCTGCACTCTCCAGCCTGTGTCCCAGGACCCTGCAGGCTCAGGGTCACCATGACTGGAGCTGTGCACAAGAACCCAGCCTTCATGGATCCCACACGGTCTTACCCAGGCCAGGCCGAAGACTGCCCTTTCGCTTCTAGAGGCTTCCCTGCAAGCTGGCTCCACCCCCTCAGTCTGCTCAGGGTCAGCAAAGAGTTGGTGTCCTCCTGTCTCCACAGTTCTTCAGAACAACCACTCCTCCATAGCCTTACTCACGAACGCAGAACTCAAGCCCTGAGCACACAGCAGGGGCTTCACTCCTCCTTTAGGATTTGTGTCACCACCTCCCCGGGACGAGGTCCTTTACACTGTCACCTACTGAATTCAGACCTTGGCTGTGCTGGGGATGCTGTGAATATTTTGCTCTGATTGATAAATAAAACGCTGACTGGCCAGTAGCCAGGCAGGGAGTATAGGATAGGCGGGACAAGCAGAGAAGAGAATGCTGGGAAGTGGAAGGCTGAGTCAGGAGACGCCGGCCTGCCATCCAAGGAGCAACATGTAAAGGCAGCACAGGTAAAGTCATGGAACACGTGGCGACATACAGATGAACAGAAATGGGTTGATTTAAGATATAAGAACAGTTAGCAAGAAGCCTGCCACAGCCATACAGTTTATAAGTAAAATAAGTCTCTGTGTGTTTACTTGGGTCTGAGCAGCTGTGGGAGCCAGGTGGACACAGGAATACTCCAGCTACATGGCTGTCTTCGGGTCCGTGTGAGAACTCTGCACACAAGGCAGCAGCAAGGGAAGAGAGGAGGGGAGTGAGGTCTAAGAATCAGCAATTAGATGCTATGACGCCCCTACCATGCTCGGAGCTCTGGGCTGGTTCCCTAGAACCACACAAAACTGGACCTGGTCTCAAAAATCCTAACACTCAGGAGGTGGCGGCAGGAGGATCAGAAGCTCAAGATTATCACAGGATATCAAGTCTGAGGCCAGTCTGGGTTTTAAGAAATCTAGTCTCAGAAAACAACACACACACATAGTATGGGTAAAATGTCATGATGAAATCCATTACTTTGTATGTTAATTTTTTAATTAGAGAAAGTTAAAAGGGAACGGTGGGCCAGCGAGGTGGGACGAACCTAACTCTGGCAAGTTGTCCTCTGACTTCAACTGCGTCTGTATAGATAGGTGCTACCTCCAAATCTCACCAAGACCTATCAGTGGAGTTGGAGGTGAGCATGCACCCTGTTTCTTTTTAAGTAGACGCTGTAATGCCCAGTGACACCCTGAGTCTGACTTTGGACACGGTAACCAGCTGATTCCCAACCCTCCACTGCAGCCAAGCTCTGGGGGCAGGCTGACCGAGACAGTCCACTGCGGCAGCTTTGGCCTGTGAGGAGGATCTTCAGTGCTGCCCCACCAGACATCACAGCCCCCGTCAGTCCACGCCAGGAAGCACCACAGCCCTGCCTACAATGCCGCCGTCTACATGAGAAGACAAACGACAGCTGCTCTGTTATGGAGGGGGAGAACACCACTGAGGCCCGTTTCCTCCTGTCTGAGCGTGGACTTTTCTTTCTTTCCTCTCTGCAGTGAGTCTCAAGTGAAGGGAGTGTTGTGTGGCAAGCATGATCTGAGCGCCTGCCAGGACCCAATCTACCTCTTCCTCTCAACAGAAACGCTGATGCTGTCTGGGCCCCTCAGTCCTCAAAGCACGCCCCTTGCCCCATCCTTCCAACACACAGCGAGGCACGACAAGATGCTACATTCTGACTCACACAAGCCACGGGCAGCGAAGCAAAACAGAACGCTGTGCTTTTCTGTTGGGGTCCACAGAGGTGTCCTAGTGAGATCTGGGCTCGCTTTACACAGCAGGGCTGCATAAGGGGATGGACTGACCACGTGCGTGGTTACCTGGTGTTGGGAAGGGTCTGCACTTGGCTGTGCCATGTGGCATGCTTTGATCTAGCAAGGGGGAGGTCTTTTGCTCCACCCCTTGGCATTCCTTTAAAAGGCCTTTAGAAGAGACAGAAGGGGCTGGCAGGTTTTGACCCAGGCCCTCCCGAGGCTATCCTGTGTTTCTATCTGTCTCTCTCCTCTATATTTCTACCTAAATATTTCTCACTTCTCCCTGCTCAAGAGTACCCTGGGGGGAAAAGTGGGGGTGGGTCCTACAACTTACTTTCCTACAACTGTTTCAAGGTTCTCATCTCAGCCCGGGGCACAGATACCCCAAGGACAGGAAAGGGGAGTGTGGCTTACCACTCTATGTCCCCACCATTCCAAGGCAAAGGGCACTAAATGCGCCGCCTCTGGAAGCCATCAAAGAGCGTCTCAGAAGCAAAGAACATTGTGTCTTTCCAAACTCGTTCAGTTCACAACGCGAAGAGAAGAACTACTTTGTGTGCCGCTTCCTAGGAGAGCTTCTCAGTCATGAAAACTCTGACAGGGACAGTCTACGCCATTTCGGATGCAGCCGCCAGTTTACACACTCTGGCCTTTCATGTGCTCTCTCCAAGCCTTTTCAAACGAACTGTTTCTCACAGGACTCTAGCTGCTGTAAGCCCCCTGTCCACCGCCTTACTGTCTCCCGAGGATGGGAGGCCACTCAGTGTATGAACTCCCACCCTGTGCGGATACCTCGAAAGCCCTACGACAGTCGGGGCAAAACAGACCGAGTGCAACCTCCCGGGCTCTCTCTCATGCAGACTTGCACTTGGCTGGCAAGGCGTTTCCCCCTCTGGCAGCCCAGAAAGTGGGGTGCTCCCCGGGATGCTCCAGTCTGCAAGGCAGGACACAGCAAGCCCCTTCGCCTGAAGTTATCAGATGCAACCTAAGGATCCCTACAGATCTAACTTGCTCTCCCTATATAGGAACTCTACCACACCACATGCGACGCAGAGGAATTTCAAGTTACAGCCCCTGTTCACGATGCTCTGGCCTACCAGTCTGTGTGAATGTTATGCTATAGCACCTGTCTAACTGCAGCTGCTGAGAGAATTCCAAGAAGGTAAGGACAAAGGCAGGCGCAAAGGCCAGACCATCAATAACTGGAGAAAAATACAACCCGAAAGTAAGTCTGAGCGGGCAGCCGAGGAGGTCAGTGCTGGCAGGAAAGAATCGTATGGACAGCCCCGAGATTAGAAGCGTAGGACAAGTGTGGTGGTCTGAAAGGAAACGACACCCAAAGGGACAGCACTGTGGCCTTGCTGGAGGAAGTGTGTCACTGTGGGGGCGGGCGTGGAGGTCTCTTTTGCTCAAGCTTCCCTCAGTGTGACTGTGAGTTGACTTCCTGTTGCCTGCAAGATGTAGGGCTCTCAGCTCCAGCATGCCCTGTTCATGATGATGAACTGAACCTCTGAAAGGGTAAGTCAGCCACCCCCGATGAAATGTTTTCCTTATAAGAGTTGCCGTGGTCATGGTGTCTCTTCACAGCAACAAAAATCTTACCTAAGACAGCAAGTTTGAGATGGGATCTGTGAAGAAATAAAACCCAGCCTGCTCTGACCAATCAAGCCACTGGTAAGTCCTTGAAAGGGCTGGTTCTGCAGAGAGGCCTTGACCCATCTCTGAGATGAAGTACTCTGTGGACATGTCTGTAGCTGAGGGGTCCCGGGCTCAGCAGACTTCCACAGCCCTGGCCACGCAAGAAAGGAAGCAGCTCTCGTGGCCAGCCCCCACCAGCGGTGGTCTCCTTTACTCCAGTATTTCCTGAGCTGTGCAAGGCGCCCAGCACCCATCTCAGGAATTACATAAGGGCCACTGTTGGGGGGGTATGTGTCAGATGGACTAAGATCCAATTTTAATCCTTTTTCTAATGTAAGATGAACTATTCTACAAATAAACAACGGACTGGGTTAAGGCTAGTCCAAAATGTCAATTTAAAAATCATTGTGAACTTTTTAAAATATGGTTTTAGGGGGAAAAAAAAACAAACTGTCATCGACTGCCACACAGACGGAAGCAGGTGGGACCACCACACCAACTCCCTGCACACAGCCCGGGACGCCCTCCTTACTTACCAGGAGCATCTTCTGCAGGTCCTCCTCAAAAGCGTCCATGTTGCAGTCGGTCTTCTCCAGGCCGTCCAGCACCTCCTGCAGCATGAACTGGTAGTACTGCTTCATCAGCAGCCCCCCCTTCAGGACCTCTTTACACTCCCGCACTAGCTGCAAGAGAGCACACAAGGAAGACACAGCTGTCACCCGCACACCCTGGCCACACAGACTGCCAGTCCTCACAAATCCCCCCACAAAAGCCCCAGAGGGACCTTGCTCTGAGGAACCTAAAATAGTCTGATTCCCGAGAAGCTTGTTGTGTGTGGCAGTTCAGCCATCTGTCACACATGAGCACACAGTGAAGAATCCCACAGCAGCCACTGTTTGCTAGAATATAACCTACAAATAAATTCATATTGAAAACAAATCTCACTTAGTAAGGCCACTTTTACCCATGTATATGGTAAGACAAGAGGTAGAAGAGGAAAAGAAAATCTTATGAAATAGATATTTTAACCAAAACCAAGATTTAAATAACAAACCACAGAAAATGGTGGCTTCTGAGTAATGTATTATAGTTTACCCTCTGTGGGGTGTGATTCACCTACTACCAAATACTGCAGCTTAGATTACCTTCTTCGGGGTGTGACTTCATCTACTGCCAAAAGCTGCAGACCAAGCCAACGCTGATAAAATCAGAACTCACGGAAAGGGGGAAAGGATGGTGAAAACAGCAGTATACTGGCATAGTAGGTGATGTGTGGAAGAAGACAGAGGTGAGGCAACCTAGAAGGCCCCTTCCATTATCAGAGCTGGGACACGAGGCCCTCCATATAGTCCCAGGACTAAGGACAGAACCACACAGTCACACTGACCTTCGGAGGCAGCAGCCACAGGGGTCCAGGGCAGTGGCTAGGAAGCAAAGGCTGCCGCTTTCCAGACTGAAATGGGCACTTCACTACGTGCATCTACACTTGTGCCCAGGAACTCATCAGAGCTGCAGCGAAGACTTACCCACAAGCGTGTGTGCGTACCTGGGGAGCACTGTGGCCACGGAAAGTCTTTTTTTGATAGAGTACTGAGAGATAAGTGGGAAGACTTACATGTGTGTGCATAAACACATACATGTACAACACACACACCAACTCACTCTCGTACTGCTATGTGTAGGGAGTGTACGTGTGCAAGGCAGAGAGCTGAATGGAAACACACATGCTCTGTGGCCATCTCTTGGGTGCCAGGAGAACAGGGACTATTTTTAATTTGTGTTATTTCCTACGCCTTTTTCAATTTGTCTAAAACAAGACCTTGACTGCTTTTACAGACAGAAGCCCTTAAACGTTTTTTTTTTTAAATTATCATGGTGCAAGAACTAGACCTGCAAGCCAAATCTCCTAACAGTGTCTGCGTCTGTATCAAATCCAGGCAGGTATTTACTACTGATCCTTGAATCTTCGTAACAAAAATGCCTTTTCTCTTTTTTCTCTGAAATACTACATCAGTCCTAGTTCTGTTGGTCACTGAAGTGTTTTCACATAAATTGTTATTTAACACCACAAGAGCCCATTAGCGAAGGAGATTCCACCCGGTCTTACAGGGTTGTAGCTGAAGTATCTGACTATCACGGTTGCCTACTGCAGTACATAGAACAGGATAAACCCTGGCCAGGCAGACAGTGTGAAGGAGGCGGGGCTAATGTGGAAACAGCTCTGGCTGGTGCATCAGTGTCGACCGGAGTGCACGTGCATGGGGCCACTCCCAAATGACCCACGAGTCACCCTGGTCTACCCTTGACCAAACAGACACATACCCCCTCTGGACCTGCTGTGGGACCCGAGTCCCCTGTCTGTCTTCAGTGGCACTGTCTTGTGAGTCCCAGAGCCACGTAGCCCTTCAGCCTCTAGCAGGTGGCTGTGAGGACCTGAAAGACTTTACTTTACAGTTCATGTCAACGTGCTAACAGCACAAAGCCTAAGAGATGCTCCTCAGCCTTCACTCTGTCCAATCAAACTCCTTCCAGTCATCCCGCGGCTGCTGCTCCTGAAACAGCCCCACGAAGTGAAAACCCACAGCTCGGAAGGAAAAAGCTGGCCCTACCGTTGACGCTCCACGGCTGCTTAAGCAAGCACCCAGTCCAGGCTATCCCCAGACGTTTTCCTATCTACACATGCCTCCAATACAAGAAGAGAGAACCCAGGTGGACTTAAACTGTCTTGCAGGGATAAATCGGAGATACAGCTCAGGGACACGTCACCTGGCGTGGAAGGCCCCGGGTCTGATCTCAAGTATCACCAGTCAACAAGACTGACAGAGGGACCGACAGTCACAGCACATCCTGTTCTTAGACTTTCCAGAAAGAAGTGAATGGTCAAAGAGCCGAAATGCACTCTTATCTTTGGGGGCTACAGGTAAAGAACATTCTAGATTGCCCCTGAACTAGTCAAAACAAACGCTAAGACGTGTTCTTTTCGCTGTCTGTAGTAACTGGGAGAGGAAAGAGGAAGGCGCCGTCGGGCAACGAGCACTGTGTGATAAACAAGAATCTGAAACAAACCTGTTTGATGCTCAGGAGGGAAGGCTCGCCAGCAGGCCTCTGCTCCAGCCGCAGCTTCAGACACTCGTGGATCACGTTCAGCAGGACTCGGCAGAGCACAAGGAAGGCGGGTTCGAAGGAAGGCAGGTCCATGGCCCTCAGCTCTTCCCAGGACACAGGGCTGCACTTCTGCCCTGAGGAGGGAGGTGTCCCCGACAACTGCACGTAATCCGAGCCCCACATGGGACCTGGAAAGTCAGAGAACTGCAGCAAAAGTTCAAGACAGATTAAAACTGTGCGCGGGACACCGCCTGAAGCTGTGGTCACAGGCTTTGCTACAACCTGCTGAGGTAGCTACACGGTTCTCGTTCTAAATGATAAGAATCTCCAACAATTCAGCATCTGCACCGACCCCAGGTCCCAGTGTGCTAGCCAACTTACTGTCATCAAGGGCAGGGCGGGGAAGTCTCTTTTCAAAACAAACCCGCTGGACACAATACACGCAGCGCTATCTACAATCGTGTCTAGACTGGGAAATCAAGGACTTGCTAAATTACAAGAAAACAAGATCACAAAACTCTTCCACAGCTGTTTTGTGAAAATAAAAGCCAGCTCGGCCAAGCCTGCATTCATTTGGAGTCACGCTTCCTGATGCTGCAGACAGCTCCTGCACTGCAGCCCCGGTCACCTGTCACCTCATGTGCCAGGAGGTCCTGCTGTGTGTCTGGGTGTCCTCCCTCTCCCACAGTTGTCCCCTCTCAAATTCTTAAGCTTTCCCTCAGAAAGCAGAGGGCCTGAAACTTCCTCCCATCATTAGGAAGCCTCTGTTATCACCACTACCACCACCATGTCCACCACCACGTCCACCACCACCTCCACCACTTTTATCACCTCCATCACCTCCATCACCTCCACCACCACCACTTCCATCACTACCTCCATCACCTCCACCATCACCACCTCCATCACCACCTCCATCACCTCCACCATCACCACCTCCATCACCTCCACCACCATCACCACCTCCATCACCCCTACCATTACCTCCACCACCACCACTTCCATCACCACCTCCATCACCTCCACCATCACCTCCACCTCCATCACCACCTCCACCACCATCATCACCACCACCTCTATCTATCACCAGTATTAAAAAACCTTGACCCTTTTATTAAGTGAGGTCATTGGAGTCTGACAGTCTCACCTTCCTGCATCTCCAACTGTAGCTCACTCTGCATGACTGTCATCGGTGCCTGTCCTCCTTGTCACTTAGGGAACCCTTCACTGTTCTCCACTCACATCTTGATCTTTCATTATTCCTTACACAGATGCCAAGCTCAAGACACACTCGGGGACTCACCTGATGGCATCTAGACTGTAGCCTTAGCCAGGGTCTACGGGGACCAGTGTTTGCTATAGGCACCGACTCCCCTGGCCTTTCAAGGCCTCCTTCCATCTATCAACTAAAGCCTTGGCCCAGCTCCCACCCTCCTGGATGGCCTCATCTCTGCAGTGCTCTCTGGCCCTCACGCATGTGCCCATCATGCTGACGCTGGCCCGGGCCCCTTGCTCCTCTAGGAATTTCCCTACCTCATCCTAATTTCCAAGATTCACCTATGACACCTTCCTAAGGATTTGTTGCACCCTGAAGCATGCCAACCACACTGTCCCTTGAGATCATTTTGACTGTCATCATAGAAATATCATAGTTCAATGAGGGGGTGAAAATCAGGGCTCAAAAGTCAAAAAGGCTGGCTTTGGGTCATTTAATTGGCTCTATGGTTCTAGAAGCATTGAGGAGTCCTTCAGGCTGTTTATCTTAAAAAAAAAAAAAAAACCAAACCTGGCTGGGGATTATAGCTTAGTATAAATTATTTGTCTAGCCTCAACACATGCATACATCCCCCCCCCCAATTCACTGTCCACCTTCTACAGATTAAGTAGAACAAACTGAAAAGGGACTTAGAAAAAACATTTGCTATGTCTCCCACCCCGTTGCTTTGGAGCGAATGCAGGCAAAGGCATCGTAAGTCCGATCTATGCTGTACATCCGCTACAACTTTCCCCGGCTCACGAGCTGACTTACAGTAAGCCCTGGATGCTGACTAGACGACTGGTGTCAATTACCCTCTCCAGGATGGCTCTCAGCCACCTTGGGCATACTTGAGTTCTGTGCACTCTACTTCCTGGGCTCTTTCTGTCCACCTTCTGCACTTCCTAGCTGGGTTTCCATAGCTTCTCCGCATCCTGACATCTTAACCCACTGACCTCTTTGAGTCACCTCCCGCATAGCTCTGTTCCCAGGCTTGGCTTGTCCTTCTAGTTGAAACTCAGTGTGTGCACTAGTACCCGTGAAGACCACGCCCTCCTCACTGTACCAACCCGGAAGGTCGTGTAAGGTCTTACACTGTGTTGACTGTAGCAATTATGTGCTGGGATTCTGCACAGGTCAATCCCTGACAAAAGACTCAGTCTCTCAAGAGGAGGCCTGAATGCCCAACCCTGGAGGCTATCTGTGGCTGCCTCAGGGAGCATGTTTCTCACAATCTGCATGTCTTTCAAATGCATGCTTAGTTACTCAGCCATATCCACCATGGCTCAGTTATCTGCAGGAGTTCCCTGGCAGAGCACTCACTGGTTCTGAGGAAAAGGCTGCTTATCTCCAGTTAATTCCAGGGATGCCGGGCCAACTGTTTGACCAGTAAGTTAATGGTGATCACTCCTACAAGACCCACCACGATTCTTCTCTAGCTCCCCCACCAGCACCACGAAACATCTGACCCCCAGACCTATTACCAGTAAGACCCGGTTCTCAGATCTGTTCCTGTGCTACTTAAGGATGCCATCACAAACTGAAACTTCTATGGAGCCAAGCAGGTAAGCAGACAAGGGTGCACTGGATGTGGGCGGGGCTGGGTGAACTCACTCTTATGCCACTGGTCAGCTCCAGCCAGCAGTCTGAGTGGGAACGAGGCCCAGAATCACCAACCCTGGTTATTCCATGGGAAACTCTCAACCAGAGTTGCAGATGAACTCCTCCCATTTAAAATATTAGCCACTAAGTTAAAAAGTAGTATTATATGTGTATATGATAGGTATATTACCTTTAAAAACGTGTGAGACAAAACGTTAACTCTAGGAGTCAGTACAGTACTGCCAAGGGCAGGCATGGCCTAGCCAGACTTCTGGGTTCCTATCCGGGTGCTGTTGCATACAGCGTGTGCCCTTGACCCAGTTCCTTGACCCTCCTCCTCCTCAGGTGCAGGCTGCTTCTGGCTCTCTCCTCTCTGTTGCTATGCTGTTACCATGGGATCCAGCTCTCCCCTAGACTTCCGTCCCTCCAATCTTACTGGGAGGTCTGACCCTGCTGGCTCACAGCTGTGAAGCCATGCGGCACAGCCTCTCCCATTCTGTTTTAAAACAGAAAACCTCTAGGCAAATGAGCGAGTATGTGCTTCCAGGCTGTCACTCAGACCTCTTGTAACTTTACTTAGGAAATCGGACAGGCAAGAACTGGAGCAAACAAGTTACCCAGGGCAGCTTCCCCGCAGCATGTGCCTGCGGCACTGAAAGGCAGCGAGAGGACCTCCCGGGTACGTGAGTAGCTGGCACAGAACTGCACCGGGCTAGCCTGGCTACTTGTAAGGTCCACAGATTTGTTCATGTCAGCCCTGCGTTCTACACTAGAAGATTCTAACCTGCTATCCAGGACAGGCAGAGGCGGCTCTTTGGGTAATGCTCATGTGTAGCCAGGCTTGGAAACCAGGCAGGTTCTAAAGTCCGAGAGCTAAGGTCCTTCTAACAATCCACAAGGCTGTGATCTGGAGAAGGTCGCCTCCCCTCTAACCCAGTTTCCTCGGGGTAGAGCAGAGAAAGGACATTGCCTGGCACCTGGGAGGACTAAGTGGCAGCCTAGCCTCCATGCTGTGTCCACTCTACACACAAAGAAAAGGCAGCCTCCTCGGGGTCCTGTGTTACAGGACAGACTGGCATAGCGTTTAACCGCCAAAGACAAACAGTATTTATTATTATATGTTTATTAGCCATTAAACATATAATTACACGATAATTTCTAACCTAAGAAAGTAATTAAGACAGTAACCGAGCACTTTCTCAGTATCTGTGGTAAGATACCAAATGCCGCCAAGTAGTGTTAATACCTAATATACTATAGGAAAAGAAATAAAACCTCCCTGAGGAGCGCTAGGAAAGTGCACTACAAAAAGACAATAGCAAAGGGAAATACTTGAACTCTAATGGTGACTCTGGGTTTAGTCCCCACAGGGTAAAGGAGCACAGTATACCAGACATGCTGTCACCAGCGGGGGAAAAGCTAAAATACGGAGCAAAGAGGTGGTGTCACGCTAGCACTACAGCAAAGGCCTGGTCTCTGCCTCAGGCAGACGGACACGTAACCACAGACCTGTGTGCACAGGGAAGACAGCCAGCAGCCATGCGCAGTCACTGCTGGGAAGGGCCAGGGTCACTGTACTCACAGGCAGTGTCTACAGAAAAGGAGGCAGGCATCGAGACTGGAAGCATGCACACACACGCACACGCACGCACGCACACACACAAACACACGCATGCACACACACACTCAGGGAGCCCGGCCTGCTATTTGGAAATGGCCACCAGATACTCAGAAATTTGGGTCACGGCAAGGTGAGAGGAAGTGGAGGCCCCTGAGAGCCAAGCAGGCTCCACCACAAAGGAGCAAGAGAACCGGGGACAAACAAGGACGCAGCCAGGACCTCAGGCCAGCTCGAGGTGCCCAGGAGGGAAGACTAGAGCTTCATCCGGGTTCTCCCTCTTCCAAGAGCCTGTCCTGGCTTCGGGGAGATGCTGCCGGCATCACGAGTCTATCATACAGGCTTCCATGCGTTTCGTGTGATAACCGAGAGCCTCTCAGAGAACACTCTTTGAGATCGCAAACAAGTGCCTTACATGTGAGCTCTGACAAGCAACCCATCCACTAACTGGAGCGGGTCTGCAAGGTCAGGATGTGTCCTGGGGAGTCAGTCTGCAGCCACCGGGAGCAACAATCACAGAGTTCACGCAGGCCATTAACATGGGTGCTGCTCATGTTACTAAACAAATGCAAGCAGGCTCGGAACATTCCTAGTTTGCCATTCTTTTAAACAATAAATGCAATAAAGCTTTAGAGGAAAAGTGTTTTTTCAGAACATGCTTCCAGAGGGTTATTAAATGTTATTTACAAAACTGGTTACAAGTAACTTAATCAAAAGGAATAAAGATATAAAGTCATACACAAGAAAAACACAAATATCACAAATAAATGTTCTTTCTTTCCTCTAAAATCCTTCAATGGGATCAGTCCAGAAACCACAAAGACCGAACGCAATCCCAGGCACGCTCTGCCCTGTCTGCAGCAGGGGCCAATCTGGAGGGGCCAACACTGACGCAGGGCCACCCAGGCTCGCACGCCGCTGCTGCGAGTACCAGGGCTCGGCCTCACTGCAGCAGGGCTCGGCCTCACTG